GAACATCAACTGTGGCATAGGACCCGTGACTGACTGGCCTTGGGTCGGTCTGGGTGATTGGCCATAAGAGTCCATCAAGGCTGACACCACAACCCTCCTGCATGTACTCACAATAGTGAAATACTGCCGCTTTGAAAAGGATTTGCCTGCGGCTGACATGATGTGTAACTCGGTGGACCCCCCTAACCACCGTGGGTTGGTTGGTAACCCCTGGGGCCGTGGGATGATGATGGTATATGACATCGATCATTATCAACCGATCCGTTGAATGAATGGGGATATCACCAACCCTTTGAACGATCGCTGGTATGGCCAGTTCTGGAAAAGCATCCGGAGAAATGGGCATAATGTGTAAAGCCTCGATGCAATTGAACGGAACTCTCAGGGCTTCAGCGATGGCGTGGGACGGTTGGGCCAACTGGGCATTCACCAGTTGCACCACTGTGTCCATACCATTCATTTGGTAGATATGCAAAGGTGTGGTGAATTGAGATGCGGCTGGTGCAACGTGAGACTGTACATCTTCGTGGTACGTTCCGGTTGGAAACTGCTGGGCTCCTCCAGGGTGAACATCGGTTGAGGATCCTGCCTGTGTGTTGGTTTGGGGTGCCAACTGGACTGGAGTCGAGTGAATCTGGAGTTGGAACCCGTCTCCATGTGACATGGCATGCTGCGGCCTCAGTGTGTAAGGAATCACCTGCCAACCAAAGGTCACTGTGCACTCTTGATAGCTACACATGGCAGCTGCATCAGCTGCCTGGGCCACATCAAAGCCACTGACATCTGTTTCAAACGAGGCTGCGACTGAAAACATGTCAAATGAGGCTGAGCGGGACGGTAGAACAGTGACTAGACCTGCATACCTGTCAAGTTGAATTGATTGTGTCACCACTACATCCAGGATGACAAAGCTGTGCCTGGGTGGTCTTGGGGGATCGGGGTGAATAATGGTGACATCGAACCATTCATCAGGGTTGATCTGATCTACCCATATGGAGCTGATTTGCGCTTCCCAACCTTGTGGAGGTCCAACAAGTTGGAGGTTTCTGGGGGCAGTCCATCTCCTAATGGTGGCATGATCGATATACCAGGTTCGAAGTGGAACATCAAAATCCCCATCATTAATATCAAATCCCATCCTGATGAAACGATTGGACAAGTCTGCAACAAACGCTGGTGGCATCGGCGGTTGGCGGCCCTGCAAATTAGGGCCAAGGTCAGCCGGTGGCTGATCAGCTGGCAATTGTGCCACCAGGTCTGTGATGGGACTTTCGTGTTCCAAACGGCATTTGCGGATGCACGGATGATGCTCGGCGGCAGGATGGCTTCTCAGCGTTCCGCATGACTGTACATGACAAAAACGGTCTGTGACTGCACTGCCCGGACTGGAAAAACACCCGCCTGTGGCTTGCAACAACTCCTGCTGAGGCTGCAACTGACAATGCATGTTATGCTGAACCCTCTTATCCAACACAGTTGACCGATTAACCATGGTGTGCATTGAGTCATGCATATGGTGTTTGGGACCCTGTGCTTTAGGGCCAGCAATTCGGGTAGCCTGATCAAGGATTGGGAGCAAATCGGTTGAAACAGGGTACACCTTGTGCCTTGGTGCGGGCATGGTCAAACCAAAATCCCATTCTTTTCTAGAATGAATGCAGGGGCCATCTGGATCAAACAAACGTTCGAACCTGGCATGAACTTCGCATTGGCAGGCATCGGCGGTTGGTTGAACAGGAGCTATTGACATCGGTCTCAGGCTGCTGCATGGATCGACCTGGGTGAGTTGGCAACGGGCAATACACGGGGGCTCGGTGCTTACAAACTCAACGGGATCAACAGGCACAGTGGGACCCTTGGCATTGGCTTTTGCTGAACAAATTGACCATGGTTTGTCAGGCATGTCCAGTGATTGGGCAGGGATTGAGATGACATAAAAGGCTTGAGCTTCGTCAAGCCCAATGTACAGCTGAACCATGTCATCAAAACTGACCTTTGCGACTTTGGATGTGGGCTGTGAGCTCCTTGGGACACTGGTGATCACATGTTGATGAACCGGCACTGATGGGGGCCTAGATCCATTGATCTCATGAGCCAAGTGAAACGCAATGTCCTGGGCGGACCATTCATCCAAAAAATCAGGTTCTGTCAAAACTGTATGCTGCCATTTGATGGTTTGCCACGGATCGTTCTGGCGGTCCAAAGAGTCTGACCGGTTTGGAAAATTGCACTCTTGGACTGATGTCCCATGGACAGACGCATCAAGGCTAACCGGGAAATCAAACTGATCCATCCCTTGGTACACCCCTGGCACAGAAATACCCTCAAATGCAAAATCACTGCCAGAATAACTTCGAAACTGATCAGAGGGGGTTGAAGGCAAACTGTGACAAAACTGGTCAAAATTGGGCATGGGATCATCGGTGGCTGCCTGACTTAGACGGCTTGATTCGGAACCCCAGGAATGCCATAGGGGGCAGTGAGCAATACATATTGCAGGTGTATTTACTCGCCCTCGCCAAAACCTGGGTTGTGTGGCGCATCTTTGTCTTTTTCCTTGCTGCTTGGAGAGTCGACCCTTGGTCGTTTGCGATCCTGCTGGTCCACTTCTTGCTGCACCGCTTGTACAGCTTGATTGTGGAGGGCCTGCAAATTGCTGGCCAGATCTTGGAAGCTGGCCGCGATTTTCTCTCCAGCAGTGGATTCGTGAGCCTTCGCCGGGACGTCCTCCATGTCGCTGAGCATGGTTGCATCCTCCTTGGGGATGACTCCGGCGGCTGATTGGGAGTTGCTGAGGTTCTCCTTGGCAATGGCCAAATTTTCTTGTGCTGCCTGTAATCGCTCCATGAGTTGTTTCTCCTGGGCCATGAACTGATTGGTGTAGGCAGTCCATTGTTGAACCGATTGTGACAAGAAATTTTTCCAAGCCACATGCATGTTCAGCCTTGCTGCTTGTGCATCGGCTATTTCCCGTTTGGCCCTGCCATGTTGCGATACCGCTGCATGGAGTTGTTTTGTCTCCTGTTGACCTGCCCTGATGGAGACGTCCTTCATCAACGCTTGGACATCTTCCGGCAACACGTCCTGGTGCTTCCTGAGTGCAGCAGCTAAGGATCGCATCTGCTTCTCCTGGCCCTTCTCGTCTTTGGCATCTGACACCTGTGAAGACGCAGGACCTAAGGGCATGTTGGGCGCTGGCGATGAGGCAGTCATCCATGGAGGTTCCAATGATGGCAGCGTAGGCAGCGATTGCGGTCCATACTGTGGCTGGTCGTCTACCTGTTTGTATTTGCCCTTGCCTTTTTGGGATTGTCCCTGGGGACCCTTTTTGGATCGCTGTCTTGGTGACTGCCTTCGTCTTGGGGACTTGATCCATTGCGATTGCTCCCAAATGGGCTGCTCCGGCCATTGCTCTTGGTTCCATTGCACTCTTCTGGGTGTGGTTGCTCTCACCTGAGGGACAAAGTTGGGATCCATTGTCTTCCTCCAGGATTGACCACACTTTGCACAATGTTCGTGTTTGCCACTGCAAATACGCTTGCAAGGGAAACATTTCCAGGGTGCTGGAGCTTCTGTGTTCATCTCTTTCGAGATTCTCGCAAGGAGAAAAGGATCTTTGGAATGATGTCTTTGTAGCTGATTGCGGATGTGTTGCAAGCGTCGGACTGACAAATGCAGTATTCCACGCTTGTGAAGGTGCCAGTTCAACCGGGCACGAGCGCGAGCACGTCTTTCTGCCCGTCGCTTTGTTTGTGAAGCCGTGGTGCTCCAATGGAAAATGACGTTCAAATGTGCCAATGCAAAACTTGTTGTAGTCCGAGACCAGAGTGAAAATGATAATGCACAACGTCAGGACCAGCAAGATTGAGCACATTAACCGTTCAAAGATCCACGAAGGCCACAGCCAATAAGCACTTTCAAGTGATAGGTTCACTTGCAGAAACCAGAAACCTGAAAAAATCCAGTGAAGAGGAAGCAGTAGACCCTGTCAATACTGTCCAAGTTCAAAAAGGATAAATTCCGGTGTGAGGCCCACCGCAGAAGCAGAAGTTGTAATCCACTGTCGGCCAGTGCAGAGCCAGAAAAATTCAAAAATTCCACTGTCGGCCAGTGCAGAGCCAGAAAAAATTGAATTGTATCCAAAATCCACCCAGAAATCCAAATCAGTGAAGAGGCGACCGTAGAAAAATCAATACGGCCACGCAGGTTCAATGAAGGAAAACAAGGGAAAACCGGTGTATGAGCCCACCGCAGAAGCTGTTGCAAATACCAAAAGTTGCAAACACAACCAGGGAGAGGCCACACCTGTAGAGAGTGCCAAGCGATGTTCAGCTGATCCAACAGCAGTGAGCGATCGCGGTGCAAAAGTGAAGGTCTTGTCGAAAGAGACCCGTGGGTATCACAACGACGTACCCACTAAGGTTATGGAGGAAGGGCAACGGAAAACGTGGGGCCACCTCGAACCAAAACCTTGTTTCGGATGACATCCCATATATGAAATGGAAAATAATCCATTCATGTTTGAAACCACCAACCAGTATATTATGTATATATATAAATGCATATGTACTACTAATATACACTGGTTAAATCCTAAAACTTGTTGGTACCATATGATAATTAGCCTTTTTACTGCTTAAATCCGCGTTCTTCTTGGCTAACTTCCATCAGGTGCCCGAAATCCCCATCTTTTGGTCCCAAGTGGCGTCTTTGTGGTGACCGTGACGTAGCGGTGATCAAAGGTGGCAATGGAAAAAAATCATGAAAAGTTCCCCAGAAATGAACTTTCTATGGGAAATTCTATAAATGAACATGTTTCTATGGGAAATTCTATACAGCAATAAACATTTTTTTATGGGAAATTCTATAAATGGAGGATTTTACATGGCCATGTTTGATATTGTTTGATTGCCGGGTAGTGCGAAATAGTGCAGTTATATACACTTTTCGGGATTAAATCCATATGTTCGCAGAACTCAGCCCCAACATGTCAGATCGACGTGCCCACTTTCGACGTAAAGGTCGTTACGTGATGATGATGTCCCGGCTGCGGCAAGGTCGAGCACGGTGGGGGCGAAGGTTCCGGCACAACATGGGTCTGTGGGTTTCAAATTCGTTGGCGCCAATGCATTGTCAGTCTTGGATACCCACTGCAAAATATAATCTTTGTTTTAGCTGGTTCGGCTAATATATCCCTTTTTATAGTATTGAAGTACCCATCCAGTTTGACCAAGACCAAAAATGGATTTGGGCTCGATGCTTTTAATACTGAAAATTGGAAACATTCATGTTGGGATATGAACTCGTTTGTTGCTTGATTTACGGTACGTCCCCTGATTGATAGGATGGCTGCATAAAAAACTGGTAAAGATATGTAAAGATCTGGTAAAGATGGGTGAAGCATGTCAGCTCCATCTGTTGCCAAATTTGGTTGTGAAAAACGCTTTTCATGACATTTTTACATTAACCAGCCAGTAGGACTTGGGACATCGGTGAGACTGCCATGGCCCATGTTGTGTGTGTGTCAATCCTCCCCGCCCCTGTTTTTGATCGTGCTTGTTCAAAGCTGATTTTGCTGGTGATCTCCCCTCCCTTTGGGGGTGAAATCTCCATCTTCGGATGGGGTTTCAACCGCTGAGTTCTCCATGACCCATGGTGAAACCGGGCCGTTGTTCCACCTCAAAGTGCGCGGAGATGCCAAAGTCAATGATCTTCAGGGTGTTGTCTGCGCAGCAGCCGGCTGGCAAGATAAGATTTCCGCGTTTCACGCGCAACAATTGGGATTTCAGCAATAAGTATGGTGACATGATGAAGATTGTAAAAGCAACAAGAAGATTCTTGGGTGTCGGAATTTCCCGAGATTTCTCGTCATCCGATTCATAGTTTGATCAACAAAACAAGGATTTCATGGGCATGGTTGACAAATCTGTTTAACCTTCAATACATTGTCACAGAATGAAGGTCAGTTCCGCCTTTGAGACAAATGCGGCAAAGTCCGTCTGTTGAAAAAAAAAAAACGACTTGTTGCTGGTGCACTCTCCCTTTGTTGGGGGCATCATCATTCATTACAACTATTGTATATATATAATCATATAATCATACAACTATTATATATACACATATAATCATATAATATCATATATATATACACCATGATATTGCTGTGCAAGTTTATCCTGCCACCATCCAACCACAGAAAATCTCAGAAGGCAGCCGTTCTAAGTCACCCATCATCCCCATGATCCCCATCCACATCCACACCTCGGATCGGTCCTTTCTTCATCAGCAAGAAATTCTCCGGTTTCAAATCTCGATGGCACACCCCGTTCTGCCAGCTTTGCTTGGAGCCGTGGGTGCCATAAAAATCTAGCCCCGCTCTTGATGACTTGATGACGAACCATTGATGATATAATATATATATATATACCAAAAAAAGGAAGTGGATAGCACTGGGTTTACCACACATTAGGAACGCGTCTAGGCGTTCCGCTTCGCTGGTCGGGTTTTTTCTTGGCTGGATGATGTCAGATGATTCGATCCCTGGCCAAATCTCGAAAAGGCCTTGGTGGCAACCTTTACCCTCTGGTAAACATACAAAAAGCTATTGAAAATGGCCATTTATAGTGGATTTACCCATACAAAATGGTGATTTTCCATAGTTATGTTAGTTTACCAGACGGTACTGAAACTTCCATGGCTTTTACTGAAACGCTTCGACCCCCGAATCCAAAAAAAAACAAAAGCACCGAAGTTCAATTCCCATCTGGCCGGTGGTGCAATAACCATCTTGAAAAATATGAAAGTCAAATGGGAAGGATGACATCCAATATATTATGGAAAAATAAAAATATTATGGAAAAATAAAAAATGTTCCAAACCACCAACCAGATTGTGTCTTTTGTCTTCAGAAAGATGTTTTTTCTCTGCAAATTCCAATCATTTGCGTCAATCTTCCCGCCAGTGCTGTTCTAACCCCATCTGATGATGACCCCGGTGCCAGTCATCTTTGCCTCGTGCAGATAGACCAACGCCCGAAAGATCTGTTGCATGATGATTGCCTTGGCGTTCCGATTTTGTTCTTCTTGGAGGATTAAAAAATCACCTTATTTCACTGTATAGTACCCTCAAAAAAGATATGGAGTTTGGTGAAATCCGATTCTAAAAAAACGGCAAATATGGTTGCTACCTTTTTGGAGGGTACTATAACGTTGGCAAATAGGATATTTAAGCCTTGGGTCCGTAGGTATGTTGGACGAAGAGCGGGAAAATTCAGCTGCTTGGAGGAGCAAAAACTCAGCGGCAGTTGGTGATGTCCCAGTGCATTTGTCCTGTTCCAATGCGTCTAACTTGAAATACATTCCCTTCCTGACACCTTCCAAAATTGCTTATATAATGAGTATTAATGATTATATAATTGTTAATTATATAGTTCCATCATGGTTCTATAATTGTTAACTAGTGGGACTAATGGGATGCTTGTTGGCTTTTAATCTGCTTGAAATAGATAGCCTAGATAGCATCCATCCAGGTGGCTCCGCGACTGAACTAGCTGGTGCATCACTTGTCTGCAATTCACCTCATTTTCTTCATGTTTCTGAAATCATGGCTGACTATAGACACTGTGCCCCATTGTTTGTTGCTGACGCAGATCACTTGCTTAACGTTTGGGTTTATGGGACATTTTTCACGAACTAGTTCATGGGGATTAACCAACGAACTAGGGGGGAAATCCACCTTGTAGGTCACACTCCTTTAATACGGTTATTTTCTAGTGGGATATCTTAAGCATTGAAAAACTGGGCCACCCCACCACCAACGTTTGCCAACACCAGCTGGGTGTGAACATCCGTGGAAACAGCATTGCTGTGTTGAAAAAAACTGGTGGCAAAAAACCCATGATGTCCTTCTTCGTACCCAACAAAAAAATGGCAAGGTTGGTACTTTTCATAGTTCATCCTTCTAGATTTTATATGATTTTATGGCTTTGTTTGAAAATAAATTTGTACCCAAAAATCCCACGCTTGATCATGGTTCTTCCACAAAAAAGAGTCATTTGAGGCTGCCCACCATTTTCAAAACAACTTACCTAGATCAAATAAGATCAAATTTTCAATAACCTGCTGGTGCTCAGACACGGCTTGCTGAAAAATCCACTGGTTGGTGGTTTTAACCATCTTAAAATCTTAGTCAATGGGAAGGATGACATCCCATATATTATGGAAAATAATCCATTCATGTTTGAAACCACCAACCAGTATATTATGAATAATTATATAGTATGTGTGAATATCTATGGAAACCACCAACCAGTCCAGCATTTTATTCCCTGATTTTTCCAGCTCCATGGCTGCGGGGATTTCCCAGGGCCAAGTTGACCACCCCTGGGGCTTCGCACGGCATCTGACTCCGACATTTTCAACTGCAATGTCCGGCGGTTGGGATCGGAGAACGCGGGGCACACAAAATGTGTCGCGGCTTGGGCAATAATCCCATCAGCCGAATATTAAACACACCATAAATGGTCCCAAGTAACTTAAGTATGTGGAAATTCCCAACATAAAACCATGGTTTCGTTTAGGGGGTGTTTAATATTAGGAAGGGATTAGTATGGATTAGTACAGACGCAAGTTGGTCGATCTTTCGATGATTCCATTGGCTGAATTGCACCAATTCACCAACCTGAAATGCTGGGTTTTGCGAGGGTCCCTCATGAACCAGCATTTAGGCTGATGGGTGATGACATGGTGAGGTCGCTGTAGGTCAACCGTACTTCGAAACGAGATGACACACCCTTAGAACCAGCATCAATAGATCTGTTGATAGAAAAATCATCTGTGGTTTCTTTGAACAGGAACCATGGCACAAAGCCGTGCTTTGTGCTAAGGTGCCCCAAGGACTTTGTGATTGGTGCAGGTTTGTTCTGGATTCAACTGCAAATCCATGCAAGCACAATATCTCATATGCTTTTCATTTGCCTATTTTGCTGCTGGCTTCTCTCGTCATGTTAAAATACAGTAGTATGTCAGTGTGTCTGTACATGTAGGAGAACACATACTACATACTACTAGCTTTCCACTTATCTGAGGGGCGACCAATTTTTACGCAGAAACCACTCGGTCAAAATGGATCAAAATCCTAGGCTTTTGGAAGCTGCAGTTGCTTCCAAAATGCGTTCATAGGCTTGGGTATTGATGCTTTACCAAAGCTTTTTCCCATCATCTGGCTATGTTTGGTATGATGAAATTGTGCGATTTTAGGCATTCACCTTCCATATTCATCAAGGTTGTGGCGACATTTCATGAAATTTCATCACCAATCCTGAAGTGTTCGGTCTTTTTTGGATGGTTCCCTAAACTAAACATCATGATGTTGCGACGTGAGGTCGCAACATCATTTACCCAGACCATATTTCGTTCCCAATCATATCCCAGCCGTATGTATATCCCAATAAATCGAAGGATGAAACAAGCCTGCTGCCAGGTTTTTTCCGGTTGATCCCTTTTTAAAGTTCTTGGGTAAACACCGGTAAACAGCCCCCATTTTGCCACCTGTTCGATGATTGCATCGAAGAGCTCTCCCCCTTCGCAGCACCTTAGAGCCAATTTCGGGGATTTTTTTCGGCCACCTTTGAGGACGAGGGTAACTAGGCTAGCTAGGATTTATCCCATAGGATCCATGTATGGAATATTTACCTACATTTGGGTCATATATGGGGCAAATGTTGGTAAATATTCCATACATGGATCCTATGGGTATGGTGAAGATGTTTTTATTTTGTTGGACATCTTATGGTAACTTATGGTAACTTATGGTAACTATGGCTAGCTATATTTCCCCGCCACGTTTTGATGGGTTAGAAACCAACTTATAGCTGCCGGGCATGTTGTTGGACGTGTTGTCTACGATTTATACTGCTTGAGAATGCAGTTTGGGATTGGTTGATATTTTGGTAAGATATGGTTAAACATATGGATCAAACAAGAGTCTGTGTACCCATTCAACAGGTCTTTTTTTGGACATCCAGAAAGGATTCGAACACTGACCCACTGGTTGGTGGTTTCAACCCCTCTGAAAAATGATGGAGTGAAAGTCAGTTGGGAGTTGGGAGGATGACATTCCCTTGGTAATTTAACATAGCTATTGAAAATGGCCATAGAAATTGTGGATTTTCCATATTTTCCCATGAAAAATGGTGATTGTCCATAGTTATGTTAAATTACCAGAGGGTATATATATGGAAAGTCATAAAAGCCATGTTCCAGTCACCACCAACCAGCCCATCGGAATAGTACAATCCCTCATCATCCCCCCAAATCTGTGGTTTCATCTCCTACAAAACCATGGTTGCTGGGAGACCAAGCCCTGACACCACTGGGTTTCATGGCTGAATTTGTTTCCTTCGATTGTAACGAGAAATGGCCCAACTCTGGCCTCAAACTTTGGAATATGCTCTGGAATAGAATTCAAATTCAGATAAGCCTGAATATTCCTTCAATTTTCAGTCGGCTTATCCCAAGGCCTCAAATTTTGACTCCGAGCTGTATGGTGATGCCACGACAAATAGACTGATCAATTCTGAGCTGTTTCAGCAACCCACGATTGCTTCATGTAAAACCAACTTCAACCAACCAAAGTGAAAAACGGCTGGGTATCTAATCAAGGGCAGATGCGATAAACCAACAAATAAAGCTATGCAGTAAACTTGTAAACCCAAAACCATAAATCATCAAAAAATGACTGAATTGGGTTTTTCCATGTTGTTTCACTTCAACAGAATTTAAACCATCTGCAAGTGGAGGTTTCTGGCATCATGCCATGGGTCCCACCCATGACCCACCCACTGGGACGGCAGTTCACTCCATGACCAGATAGAGCTGATAGGCGTCTTCGAAGCTGGTGAAGACTTTGATGATGTTCCTGACAGCCCAGCGAAACATGGTTAATTCTATTCATGAAACCACCATTTCCCCATAGTCAATAGATTGCTTTAAGGGAAATTTTACGGGAAAATCGATGGTTTCCGGTTAAGATTTTCCCTGAAACCAATCCATTGGTCAAAGGTGTCAGGAATTTTTCAGGGAACGTGGTGAACTCATCAACGGTTCTATAGGGATTTACAGAACCAACAACAATGATTTAACCAACAAGAATGGTGATGTTCACCCCAGGAATCGCAGGTAATTTCACCCCAATGATAAGTAGCTTGGGTAGTGTTAGTCCAATTATACTTCGGGTTATAACCCGCTGGCGACTGGGGTGAACTACCAAGTAGTTATTGCTGATGCTAATGGCAATAGTTAGTTAATTCCTTTGATGCTTAGTATCGGAAAGAAGTTGAGTATGTTCCTAAGCGTGTTCCTTATTTGACCTGAAAGAAGGTTTGAAGCCCTGATCATGGTGAGCCTTTGAAAAATCACTGTGGGTGCTATGTATTACTTGGCAAACTATATAAGAATTCCCAACTCAAACCTATAACCCCATGTTCGACGTCTTTCCTCTATATCCTACCCATCTACGGGGCGAAATGATCATAATATTAAGTCATATTCATATACACACAGAAAAAAACTGAGGTATCTCTCGACATTACCCCAACCTCACACAGACCCTGTGGTTTACCCACCATCTTCCAGCAGCCTGGCAACAGCATTGCATCATGTTTGCTGATTGAATCCCACCCATATATCTAATTATATATATAATGATGCTCGACTACAACATCACTATACTATACTTATCAATGCTTTCACTGTATATTATATATATATATTAAAAAAAAAACATCACTATCTATCATTATTTTAAGAAACCCACCATTCTTTATCATATCATTAGATTACACACCATTTTTGCTGGTACCAAGCCCCCTGACGGATGGTCCAGGGCAAAGAGGGTCTGGATCTCCCGTTGCAGCCTCCACCGGAGATGTCCAACCGGAGCTTCCAAAAATGGGAGGAGTTGGCCCATGAAAAAGCACCAAAGATGAGGATTCAACAACATTCAACATGTAGAAAAAGGCTGGATTTCAGGGATTTCATAGGTGAGTTCACTGAAAATCAACTGATGTAACTATATGTAACTATGACAAAGAGAGGGATTTCGATGATTTGGCCGGCAAGACAGGGGGATGGACAGTTTGATTAACATGGGGATTTAAGAATCTACCAGAGAAACGTTGGGATTTCACTCACCGATTTTTTCTTGAAGTATTAAGAATCGTAGCCCCCAAAACCGACCATTTGGACATTGACATCAGCGGAGATCCGAGACCGGGATACAGGAATTTGGACCCCCGGACCAGAAAACTCTTCCTGTGGGACGTTTTATTCAAAACCAGTTTCCCCATGTTTTCCGTTCAGATGATTGACTCTCGATGGGTCTCTCTGCAAATGGGGTACTTGCAATTCGAAGGGATTCTCATCACTTTTCCCATTTAGATTGTAATTTTGCAGGATATATGGGCACCATTTTTGGACAGAAAAAATAAAAACCGTGTAAATCCCCGTTCGCCGGTGACATTCCGGCGAATTTTTGTGTGTTGAGGCTATCATTGGTTGGGCATCAGCGGCAAGAGGGAGTCACCCAAGCAGCTTCAAGCGGCGCCTTTCTTTGTTGGGCACCTTATCCTTCAGAATGATCTTGATGGCCTTGGTTCAATGGATTTGTTTATATAAAGGGGAAATCTACAGGAAACCATGGGTTTTTACAGGTTCTTACTAGTGATTATAGTGGTTTCCCATGATTTTTCCCATCCAATTCGACGATCGCCACCGGAGTTTCGAAGGTGCGGTGCTGCTGATGACCCACCCCAGTCAGGGGATCCCCTTAACTGGAAATGTTCGAAAAAAAGCTGTTGAACAAAGATGCTAAAGAAAATCGGGATTGACTGACCATACATTTTGGCCTTTGTTGACATTTGGAACGGGTGATATCCAAGTCTTGGGATTCTGCATTGAGATCACCCTGTATGGAAAAAGCACATGTTTTCTCAATGGGAATAAAAAAGGATCCTAAAATGGAGGTGCGTTAGTACCATATTTTTTAGGCCATATTTTTGGGGTATATCCCCTGAAATTTAGGCCCAAGGGCCAAAAATATATGGTAACCAACTTCCATGTTTTTCGGTTCCTGAGTCATGGCCATTGATTTTGGGAAGCATCTTTTGGATGATTGAGCCCATCATTGACACAGATCATTTCATCAAATGAAGAAATATGTAGTACCCTCTGGTAAACATAAAAAATACTCTACTTCGTGTGATCCCCACCATGACATGTCAGGACGTATATTTGGACATATATTTAGTATATTCTGACATCCTATCTGACATATATTCTGGCATATATTCTGGCATTCTATCTGGCATATATCCTGACATTCCACCTGGCATTCTATCTGGCAATCTATCTGGCATTCTATCTGACATATTTTCTGACATTTCATCTGACATATATTCTGGCATTCTACCTGTCATTTGTTCTGACATATATTCTGGCATTCTATCTGACATATATTCTGGCATAGATTCTGGCATTCTATCTGGCATTATATCTGACATATATTTTGGCATTCTATCTGACATATATTCTGGCATATATGTTGGCATTCTATCTGGCATTATATCTGACATATATTTTGACATTCTATCTGGCAGTCTATCTGGCATTCTATCTGGCATTCTTTCTGGCATTCTTTCTGGCATTCTATCTGGCATTCTATCTGGCATTCTTTTTGACACTCTATCTGGCATTCTATCTGGCATTCTTTCTGGCATTCTTTCTGGCATTCTATCTGGCATTCTATCTGGCATCCTATCTGACATTCTATCTGGCATTCTATCTGGCAGTCTATCTGACATTCCTACATGAGGTCCGGCAGGGAACACTTGGCGTGGATACTCGCAGTTGAGGTCCGGCAGGGAACACTGGGCGTGGATGGTCGTGGTTGAGGTCCGGCAGGGAACACTGGGCGGGGATACTCGCGGTTGAGGTCCGGCAGGGAACACTGGGCGTGGATGGTCGTGGTTGAGGTCCGGCAGGGGACACTGGGCGTGGATGGTCGTGGTTGAGGTCCGGCAGGGAACACTGGGCGTGGATGGTCGTGGTTGAGGTCCGGCAGAGAACACTGTGGATCGCGGGTCGCAGTTGAGCAAGGACGACGAGGACGACGAGGACGACGAGGACGACAAAGACGACAAGGATGACAAGGAGGACGAGGAGGACGAGGAGGAGAGGAGGAGGAGGAGAGGAGGACGAGGCAGGAGGAGGAGGAGGAGGCAACTGACATAAAATCTAACAACCCTCACCTGGCAGGTGGGGAAAAAGCTACTGAAAATGGTGATGTATAGTGGATTTACCCATTGAAAATGGTGATTTTCCCATCAGTTTTTTGTTAACCTTTACCAGAAGGTAGGTCAGCCATCTGTAAGACGATTCCCGCTTTAAATGAAGCCGCATGTGGCGAAACTTAGACTACCCTTCAGTAATCAACAGTTTGTTAGTGGGAAATCCCTTAAATCAATGGAGTTTTGCCATGGGAAATGATCTATAAATGGAGGATTTTCCATGGCCCATGGTTGCTACGAACATGTTGCGGAGAATGCGTCTGGCTGGCGAACATAATTCACCAAGCTCGAGTTTTCGGTGGTTGTGGGGAGGTTCTCCTCACGAATCATTGTTTGCATTAATGTGAACCTGAGCGACAACTTGACCAAGATGCGTAATTGCATATCCTCCTCAAACTCTTCCAAATGAGCTAGAAAAACCCTCGTTTCTTTGAAGTGTATATCCATCTTGGCAAATCAAAAAATAGTTATTCACTTCTTCATCCATCTGCATCAATTGTCACAAGAAACTATTTTTTGGGATACTAACTATTGAATCGTGATATTGATTAGTACTAAAATACTTCGTTAGTCATGTTAGTTAGTACACTAAATTCCCAGATGAATTTAGTTAGTGAAAACAAAAATCACTTTATTCAATAACTTATCAGTGGGATTGTTAAATACATAACTTAGTTAGTGATAAATCATTCACAATCCCAATTTAGTTAGTTTAGATCTAAAACTAAAATTGGGATTGTTTTCATAACTTATCCTGGACCAATCCAGGATTGAACTAAATCATCGATGGATTGAATATGAAAGACGATTGGGAATCAATGATTGAATCACAACCTACATTCCCAATATTGAACATTCATGAATATTCAACGATTAGTTAGTTTTAGTTAGTTAACATTCCCAATGATTTATATCATATTTAACTAACTATAACATTATAACTAACTGATTGAATATTAACTAACATCCTAGACATCTGGGATTGTAACAAATTACCAGAGGGTAAACCTCCATTTTCCTATGGTTTTCCTATGGTTTTCCTATGGTTTTCCTATGGTTTTCCGATTAAAACCTCCATTTTCCATGTTCACTTGGGATGATGGTTAACCATTCCCAGCTCCACCGTGTAGGCTTCGGGGCCCTGGGTTGCTTCGTCTGCTTCCCAATCGCTCGACCTCGCGGCGGATCGCTCAACCCGTTGAAGGCGGGGGCGGATCAGCAATGAAACTACAGGATGGGGCCCCCCAGTTATTGGTCTATATATAGTTATCTATCTATGATTACGTATATCTACCATAAACCATAGTTATCTATATATGATTACGTATATCTACCATAAACCATAGTTATCTATATATGATTACGTATATCTACCATAAACCATAGTTATCTATATATGATTACGTATATCTACCATAAACCATAGTTATCTATATATGATTACGTATATCTACCATAAACCATAGTTATCTATATATGATTACGTATATCTACCATAAACCATAGTTATCTATATATGATTACGTATATCTACCATAAACCATAGTTATCTATATATGATTACGTATATCTACCATAAACCATAGTTATCTATATATGATTACGTATATCTACCATAAACCATAGTTATCTATATATAGTTATTGGTCTATTTACCCCATTAACCATACTTATCTATATATAGTTATTGGTCTATTTACCCCATTAACCATACTTATCTATATATAGTTATTGGTCTATTTACCCCATTAACCACAGTTATCTGTATATAGTTATATCTACCATAAACCATAGTTATCTATATATAGTTATTGGTCTATTTACCCCATTAACCATACTTATCTATATATAGTTATTGGTCTATTTACCCCATTAACCATACTTATCTATATATAGTTATTGGTCTATTTACCCCATTAACCATACTTATCTATATATAGTTATTGGTCTATTTACCCCATTAACCACAGTTATCTGTATATAGTTATATCTACCATAAACCATAGTCAAGCCACTTATAAACCAACTTCGCTATCTTGGGGGCCTCATCCTGTAGGGGAGTAACAATAAGTGTTAATAAATCAATTATAGTGTTAAGAATATATTACTACATGAAGGTGATTGTTTAGTGTCATTGTTAGTCATGATAATAATAATAGTAATATATATATATATGTATATAATGATAACAATAATGATAAGAATAACGATAAGTAAGACGTATATCAGAAGTTAAAATCAATTGATATGTTAAAATAATGGTAATAATTGTAGTAATAATGACAATATAATAATCACCATTACAACCCAATGGAATAAACCACTATATATATACGTACATTGGTTATTCAATCGGTGAACACGGATAAACCCCAATGGCTAATGAAAAGAAACTAACCGAATAACCGAACACTTTTTTCATGGAAATCCAAGGGATTCCAAAAGAAATGGATAACCAATAGCATGGGGACTTAGCCAATAAATATCAATAAGATATATTAAAATTGGGATTGAACAACCATTATCAGGATGATGAAAAACTTCTTAAAGTGAACAACAAAATCATCCAAAGCTTGCCATTCTTTATGGGTAAACCGTTTTGGTGAAAGCGGGGAGCCCAGTTGTTGCAAAGAAAAGTCGCTGGTTGAACGCTTGGCGGCTTGAAAGTGAGTGAAGGATTGGATGACAAAGTCTGGATCCCGCAGAACTTCCATGAAACGCTAATCTGGTTGGTGGTTTTTCGCCACCCCTCTGAAAAATGATGGAGTGAAAGTCAGTTGGGATGATGACATTCCCAATATGTATATATATATATATGGAAAAATAAAATTTATGTTCTAAACCACCAACCAGCTAATAGATCTGACTTTCGAATAGATGAGTCTGCTGCGAGAAACGGTGAATGTTGGATGTGAAACTTCGGCAGACCCTTACCCAGACAAGGCTGGGAAATCCCCGATCGATGGTGCTGTGAATGTGAACATCATCTACCCTCTGGTTATGTCAAAATAGCTATTGAAAATGGCCCATTTATAGTTGATTTACCTATCAAAGATGGTGATTTTCTATAGCTACGTTGAATTACCAGAGGCTATATATATATAAATGGAGGACTGTGCATTTCCATGTTTGATTACCGCAGGATGTTTTAGTCGAACATGTTGCGGAGAATGTGTCTGGCTGGCTAAATGATACTTCACCAAGCTCGAGTTTTCAGTGGTTGTGGGGAGGTTCTCCTCACGAATCATTGTTTGCATTCATGTGAACCTGAGCGACAACTTGACCAAGATGCGTAATTAATTGCATAGCCTCCCCGTATATCTGAGTTTATTGAGAACGGTCAAATCGCACCTGTTTTTTCTGCGTTCCTCCAAGGCTCCCGGCAGACCGTTGCGAAGCCGCCTTGTCCGAGGATATCCCTGGGAGTCAACCAGCGAATCTTGGGGGTTTTCGAAAGGGGAATACAACCCAAATAAAAAAACAGAAACCAACACCAACCGGGATGTCACCAACATGGAGGACAAGACCATTTGGATTCTGCATGCCTTTTTGGTCTCCACAGGGATGTTGCCATGTGACCATGTAGGTCTTGTGCTGTTCTTAGTTTTTGACCTATACCCTCCGTTCATCAAACGTGGCTGGCCATGATTTTCCCAGCTATAGACCTCCATGGCTAGTGCGGGGAGGTCTAAAAAACAGGCCGATCCTGGTCAACCAGTCCAGTTCCAACCGGAAAAAATGGCAGCGGTTGTCCCCGACAACCGCGGCTTTTCCGTACACTAGAAAAGACATCAACACCTAAATTCTTGGTGGATCAATGAAGTAATCAGCAACAAAAAGACTGGGAAACGACATAAGTTTTGGATCCACCAAGAGTTCGCCAACAATCTTGGTGGTTCATTGATCCCACGACAAAGGTGTCACTTGGATCGTGGAATCTATGGCTATCATCGATGGTTGGTTTAGCAAGTCATTCCCAGGCTTATGAAAAAAATATGCATGAAACCGGATAGTTTTATAATATGAATATCCTATCCATGATTAATTTGATATTCATCATCAAACTTATGATCATAATCTGCATAACCTCAATATCCCCATTCCATAACCCATCAACTGAGTTAACTGGGCGATTTTCATGGCCACCCAACACAACGTTTACAGTCGCCATGCCGGCACGCCACCCTTCATTAAAGTCATAGAAGTCGTGGACGTCCTGCCGAAAGCCGTAGGTTGAGCCATGTGAAATTGGACGAGTGGACAAGATAGTATGATGTAGCATTCAGTGTTGCAATCTCATAATAAATATGTATGTATGGTATGTAATGCAATGTAATGCAATGTAATGTAATGTAATGTAATATAATGTAATGTAATGTAGTGTAATGTAATGGAATGTAATGTAATGTAATGTACTGTCATGCATGCATGTATATATGTATGTGATTATGTATGTGATTATGTATGTGATTATGTATGTGATTATGTATGTGATTATGTATGTGATTATGTCTGTGATTATGTCTGTGATTATATATGTGATTATGTGTGTGATTATGTATGTGATTATGTATGTGATTGTGTATGTGATTATGTATGTGATTATGTATGTTATTACGTGATTATGAACTTGTATATTATATATATATATATCACACATACATAATATGTATAGTTGGAGGCATGGTGCATGCATTGTTCCATGTATTCCAGCGGAAACTCTTCATCTATACTCGCCTGAGAGACTACTCAAGATGTGGTCAACGAGTTGGGCATTGGTGATCCCCTACCGAGATGGGAAAACCCTTAAACCCCAGTAGAAATTCCCACCATTGCAAAAAAGAGTGTGTGTGTATATATATATGGATTGTCGATGCGTTGTATACCAAGTATACTAACATGCTCAAAAAAGAACTAGTATCATTTGCCATGGGTCCCTACCAGCTGCCAAGTTGTTCACCACATGCGGTGTCCTTGCCCTGCATGTCAGGCGAAAGCACCTGCGGCCAACCGGCCACCATATGGACGTCTTCAAACCTGGGGTATCCCAAAACAATGGGTTTCCCCAAAAATGTGCAGTTCTTTAATGTGTTGGAGGCCCCCCAATGTTAGGAACCCTCATATCCCTATGCGAAAATGATCGAGCAAATTTGGAGACATGAACACAACTCCCATGATCTTAGGAGATGAAGTTCGTGAATGGAAATGATAACTTCTGGCCAACTTCTGGTCGATTGAGTTCGCCAGGTTACTAGGGAAATTCCATGGTTTGAAACGCTTTCAGGTAGATATACGGTGGATGGTTGCGAAATCCTGCACCAGTTAATTGGTGGCTTATCCCATTATTTCTAGGGTTTCAACCATCCAAGGTGATGCAGGATTTCTTCCAGCCACAGTAGCAAACTAGTTTCTGGAGTTTATAAACCAACATCACTGGGCCCACCTTGTAGATCCTAACTTGAGGGCAATGTCCAGTTGCAAACTCGGATTACAAGCCACTTACTAATATTTCCAGGCTTGTGTCAAATGAATACCATCCGGTATTCAATCGTGGCAATGGAAAATGTTCCATTTATATCATTTATCAGATCATTTTCGCAGCGTCCATTTATGGTTGGGATGTTCCATTTACACACCCGTGAAAACTCACGGGGGCAGCATCACAGTAATCTCCCGGTGCTGTAGTCGAACGTGATCTCTGGTCCCAGGCGGTCTTGAAATGTAAACGATAACTAACTCACCATTGAAATTATTGAATGTGTGTTGGTTCAGCCAGAAGAAATGAAAAATGAAAATTGTATTTTGTTGGATAAAGCACCATATTTAGTGAGTTGGCCAATTATATAGATATATATACACAGATCAAAATGGACAACAGCAATAACAATGACAATGATAATAACGACAATCATCATGATCACGACAATAATAAGAAGAATGATAATGACTCTGTATATATATATATATGTGTGTATGTACAATGTACATTCCCAATAAAATAGCCTCTGGTTATTTAACATAGCTATGGAAAATGGTCCATTTATAGATGGTTTACCTATTAAAAATGGTGATTTTCTATGGCTATGTTAAATAACCAGATGGTAACATATTTGAAATCCCCACAGGGTGAGGTAACCTCCTCTGCTCCCAGCTGTTGTAACCCGCCTTCGGCTGTAGCATCCTCCTTCCCTCGGGGCTGGGGCGATTCCAGTGGACGACCGGACGATGTTTTCTCAAGCAAAATGATGCTTTAAGAAATGAAGATGAGCAAAAGTTGGCTTTTGATTCGAAAAATATTGCAAACATTCGGAGGTTGATTTAAGGCATAGAGATAATCAAAAAATAAGAATCTTGACTGATTTAAAACAATGATCAACCTTGGGACTTGACTTTAATCTCTCAAAAATTCAGGAGAACTGTTGCCATTTGTAACAAAGATGGAGATGGAACCAACTGCTTCGGGGTTGGTGTTTCCAACTCCTCAAAAACGATCATCGCCAACAACATCCTGAGTTTTCCAGTGCTCCAACTTCAGAAATGTTGCGACCCCCATTCGTAGGTCATATACCCTCCAGTCATCAACGGATGACAATGGGACTTTTCCATGGCCATCCACGATCAACAAAAAAATGGTGCCTGTTTTTCTTGGAAAAACATTGATAGATTGATTCGGAAAACGATCATCGTAGAAAAGTGCCTGTTTTTCTTGGAAAAACATCGATGTTTTACAGCAAACCCATGGTTTTTCAGCCCTGAAAACGTCGTTGGGTGTCCCTGGTGATTCCTGAAGATTACCTTCCAACATCCTCTAACCAATTCGGCTCGGTTCGTTGGGAAGTCTCGTCCCAATGTTGCTTGAAAATCAGATCAAATAAGCACATTGAGTGAATGGGTCAGAATTGGGCATCCTAAAATTGGATACTTCATATATACTAAACAGGGTAAATATACTAAACATCGGTATACTCGAATCTGTGGTCCCTTGGCTTTTGGATTTGTTTGGCCATTTGAAGCTACCAGGCAGCGGCAGCGTTAGGGTATCCATCCCCATCTCCATCTAATAGGGATAACCCCCCGGTAATTTAACATAGCGAGCTGGAAAGTCACCATTCCCAATAGGTAAATAACCCATGTATCTATATATATATGATATGTTTCATCATAACTCATCATATTTTATCACACACCCATGATTTTGTGAAAACCCAGGGTTTCGAACCAAAACCCCGGTTTTGCATTGATCATGTTACAAAACCCAAGGTATTTCCTTATACCTATGATTTTTCACGGTTATGGAAGTATAAGGTGTGTATATATATGGATATATATGGGTCATCTACAATATAGCTATGTATCAAATTACCAGGGGGAAAACACTTTGTAGTTCATTGATCCCTTGCCAAAAGTTTAACTTTTAGTGGCATGGTAACATATGTCAACCCACCTATTGCCAAAAATGTTCAAAATCTCATGGTATGGGTAAACTAACTAACATAGGTGACTTACCTATTGAAATCGATTGAAAGTGTGATTTTCCGCAGCAATGTGAGTTTACCAGAGGATACCCTCTGGTAATTTAACACAGCTATTGAAAATGGCCATTTATAGTTGATTTACCTATTCCAAATGGTGATTTTCCACAGCAATGTGAGTTTACCAGAGGATAGTGATCATGTTTCAACCCATCAACCGCCGGGCCAGACTGGGTCACCCCTGCCGGATTGCTGGGTCGTGGGGAACAGCCGCAACTGGAGCAACAGCAAGCTTTTAGCCTCGCAACGGCGTGCGGAAACGCCCCCACCCAAAAAAAAAAAGCTGAAAAGTAGTGAAATCCGATTCCAAAACATCAAAATATGAGGTTTTTTGTGCGGAAATTGTGTGAATAAATATTAGTGGAATGGTAATACAAAATCGCCGTGGAATCTCCGAACAACATGGATGAAAACACCCCATCGAAATATGGGGAGTAGCAACTGCAAAATTCAATGGATTTTAGTAGGATCCGATTCCAAGCTCGTAGCAAAATTTGAAGCTCTTTGAACATTTTTGGGGGTTGGAACGGTATAAATTATCCAATCTTCCGCGCGAAAAAAATTGAAGCATCACCTTTGCAGGGTTATACAAACATTGAACCAGCATCTCAGATTGTGGTTGAATATCCCCAAAATGGTGGATTTTTTGGGGGCTGCATGTCCACCGAAGAACCATATAGTCACGGTCACAAGGCGTCCAAATCCCAGCTTATGGTCGTAATTTCACCATCTTTACTCCCAATTCACGGCTACAACTGCATCCCTAAGTAACCATAGTTTCAACAGATGCCAAATACAGTTAAATCACCCGTAATATAGGTATGTTATACACATGTATATACACAACCAAGACAGGGAGACATATACATACGTACACATACAGCACATACTATACATACTATACGTGCTGTATCATTTTTTGATAATTCACCGGAAATACAACATGATAGTAATTAACATTACATGCTGTACTAACTAAATAATATTATCATCACCATTACATTGACCTAAAGGTTACCCTCTAGGTAAACGTTTACATAAAACTATGGAAAATCACCATTTTATAGCTGGGTAAATCAACGATTTCTATGGCCATTTTCCAGTTCGCAAAGTGTTCGTTTACCAGAGGGTAATGATCATAATGATTCATAATGGGCACCAAAAGGTTAATTTAATCATATCCATGGTACATAATCATCCTTCATGATATTATACTACCCTCTGGTAAACTAACATAGCTATAGAAAATCACCATTCTTAATGGGAAAACTCACTATTTCTATGGCCATGTTCAATAGCTATGTAACAAATTACCAGAGGGTAACTACATTCATCAAGTACATTCTCTTTGGGGTCCCACCCCCTCTCTCGAAAAGAAACACAAAAAGGACCTCCGCCGAAGGTCGCGCCGAGTCGCCTCGTCACGAAGCCATCTCGAGCATCGCCATCTCGGACAGATTTCCGAAAAAATGGGGGGGATTTTCATGGGCATTTCCCCAGAAAAATCCTGGGATTTTGCTGGGAAAAATGGATGGTTTCACACATGGCTTTTTTGACCAACAAAAATCTGTGAAAAATCCAGTGATTTGGTGAGAAAACGTCATGGGAATCAGTCGGGATAGTTCACCAAGGATCTGATGTATCTCCAATAATCTAAAATCCCAGTGGGATTCCAACCAAAAACGGGAATCATTGGATAATCATGGGGATAATATGGTTGATTATGATTGGGCACAATCTACTTGGTGGTGAACTACAAAATCGTGTTTGTGGTTGTGTTTAACCATGTTCACCCCAATGAACTGGACTAAACCCGCTTACCCTACTTGCCTGCTGGCACATGGTAGCAGATATCATAGATTGGCAGTGCTTGCACATGTCAGTATTACGGCGGGAATGGCGCCGATGAGTTTTGCTGTCACTCTGGGGCGACCACTGTGACACTTGGGGATTTCATCAACCAACACCGGATATTGCCAACAACCAACAAAAGCAGGTGTAAACATTACAGTAGTACGGTGTGAAAAACCATATGCCACCAATGACTTGGTACAAAAAACCCTTGGTTGAGTAGGTGAACGATTTATGCTTGCTAGAAATGGAGGAATAGAACCTAATTTGTGCACATTGAAAAGTATGTTTGTTGCGGGGCATGAAAGATTAGCAATGTAAAATGGCTGGTTTCTTTCAGCCACTTTCTCTAACCTATACTTCAGCAGCGTTCAAAATCCCCGGAAATACATCCCTTATTTCAGATGGTTGATTACCCTCTGATAAACATACAAAAAACCATGGAAAATCACCATTTTTAATAGGTAAATCAACTATAAATGGCCATTTTCAATAGCAAACTGTTAGTTTTCCGGAGGGTATCCATAAAATGGAGTTTGTCTTAGAATAGGGTACAAAAATCCCGCCCGTTTTGCTGGTTGATCAGCATTTCCCGAAAAATTGCCATTCTGGGGGATATGCCCAATTCGACACCTACGAATCATAGTGTTGCAAAAAATCCCATGGCACAAGTTGCTTCATGAAAAATCCCGCGATATCAGTCATGACAGTCATTACATTCCACCATCATCCTCCAATCCCATGATTTGCCATTTCATTGGGATATATATATATATATTTATATGGGATTCAATTTTTCACCGAGGTGCATTGGAGGATGCCAATATTCTATTGGAGGATATTCTTATAATCTCGGTTCACCGCAATCCCATCCAATTCAGATGTCTCGGTCATATCCGCAATATCTCCCCAGTTGTTCCATGGGGATCCAACCGCCCAAAAAATCCAGTGACTCTCCTGAAAATAGATGGCTAAAAAACCCTTAACTTATATACGTTGTTCTTGGTGATTCATTTAAAAGAAACTTAATAACTCCTGAATAAACCCCTTATAATTATATATGATGATGGGTGATTCATAAACCCCCTAATAACTCCTCAATAAACCGTTATTAGCCATTATAAACCGTTATAAGGGGTTTATCCATCAATTATAAACCTATTAAGGGACCATATTAGCCATTATATATAAACCGTTTATGATGGGCCCCTTATTAGACCGTGATTTTTCAACAAGGTCACCTTGGGCTGCCCTCACTTTCCACTGCCAGACTGGAATTCTCCGACTCTTCGCTAGACTGCGCGGCGGCACGGAGCGAGATGACTTGGGCACTGAAAAAAATGGTGGATACCCTCTGGTAAACTAATATAGATATGACAAATCACAATCTTCAATAGGTAAATCAACTATAAATAGGTAAATCAACTTCCGATACATGGAGGATTTTGCAATAAATAGGAGATATAATGTGGTAATGATGAATAATGATACTGATTTTTTGGGGGAATATACTGAATATTACCCTCCGGTGATCTTCGCCATGGCGTTCTGTAAGGTAAAAGTCCACCATTTAGTTCGATGATAATTTGACAGCAACAGTTCCGTGGTTAGTTCGGGGATTTCCCAGCTAGCCATGTTGATTACCCAGCAAAACCGAGGAACTCACCTTCCAAAAAAGAATGGACTTTCGGAAATCGCTTGCAAAATGTTGGCTGAACAATAGATGTTGATAGAGAAAAAGGTGGAGCCAACATTCGTCAAAGATCACCAGTGATTCTGCATGGCGGCAAATGAACATGTTGAGTTACCCTCTGGTAAACATATAAAAAGCTATGGAAGCCATGGCCCATTTATAGATGGTTCACCGTTTTTAAAAATGATGATTTTCTATAGCTATATTAAATTGCCAGAGGGTAACCAGCAAAGATGTGGATGAAAAAGGCACATCTTCGCGGATTGAAAAACCACAGGGTTAAATCAAAGTCCTCCTCAAAATACAATCTCACCATATCTCACCTTTCGTTGGGGCCCCAACCACCGGTAAACCAATTCAAAGTGATGTTGATATTGGTTGCTTACTGTGAGATTCCCTCATGGTTGACTTGTTATATTTTTTTCCCATTGCAATTTAAAGCCTTACAGGCACTCAGACAAAGCTAACAAAAAAACATGCAATTCGCGACAGCAGCTCACATCCGGGTGTCAAAGCACCCCCAATCTGGTTTCCAGCTAGAGCGGAATTTCTTGCCGGCAAGAAAAGAGCTGGAACAATAGAGGCAAGCTTGTACATAAATTGACCAGACATTGGTGGGATTGACAGGGACCAGGTGTATGCCTAGAGCTACCTGACACCGTAACCCAAAGGAAGAGCCTAACGTATTGTTGATAACTGAAGTGTCAATGCCCGGCAATGCCTCGGAGGTTAAATCTTTAAGGTAGCGATGACATCGATGTATTAGTCGTCCAAAGCCCATATCTTGGCTAAAAAGGGGAGAAACAAAACCCAACCTTGAGATAAAGTCAATCAAAACAATGGACCACGGGGTAAAAGCAGTGATTGGCGATGTTCCACTGCACCAATACGCTTCGCGCATAAACCGGTGAATGGCATCAGCGCAATGCGGAGAGCTAACAGCTTTAGGTACAGGTGAATTTGAGACATCTAACCCTTGGACAACTGCGGTTCGATGTGTCACCCATTGATTGAATTTGGGATATTGTTGTTTGAGCGCATCCCAAATGCGATTGGGAACGAAAGCGCCAGAGTTGAGCAAGTTCAGGAAACATCGCTCCAACTCCCCTACTACCAATGTAGTTAGACAAGTTCCACGGCACAAAACAGGAGCAGGAGCTTTGCCCCTTATCCTACGGCTTGGTGGGCAAGTGCATTTACGAGCTGTGGCGACTTTAAGTGTAGATAGAGCGCGGTCAACAATCTGATCATGATCCGGTGGCTGGGTTAACAAGTTCCTATTCACAAAGGACTTGATCAAATGAATTTGCACAGCTAGAATACAGTTGACATCACACACGCTATGATCAGAATGTTGTTGAAACTGTCGTTGGCATAAACTCTTAGCTAATGCGTCTGCTTTTTCATTGCCTTCAGTTAAACCAGGGTCTTGACTTGGGTCACGTCCATGAGCTGATACTTTAGATACAGATACATGTACTGTTCGATGGTTTAAACATGTTTCAGCGGCTATGAGTGTCCACAAGTCAAAATTGTCCCAAGAACGCAAAGATGAAAAGCCTTGTGCATTACGACTTTGTTCACGAAATCCTTTGACTATGGTTGCACAATCGGTAAAAATATGGGCGTCTCCGTCTGTTACTTTTAACGCCAGCAAGATCGCTCCCAGCTCGGCTCTTTGTGAACTTTGGTCGAGCCCTGGGAGGGGTCTTGCCAGTTGCAATATTTGCGGAATATATACTGAGCAAGCTGCCGACTCTAGTCTACCCGACTTTGAGCGAATAAAACTGCCATCAGTAAAAATTCGGTCACCCGGTTGAAGTACATGTTTTGGAGGTACTTATACTGTATATAGTTATATAGTTTCTACTTAACCAGCTAGTATACTGTAACCCTTGTCCTAACCAGAATCTCTGATGCCGTCCCCACACTTGAATCAAATTTCTTGAAAATCCAAGATTTTGTGGCTGCATATCCACATGTTCGATGGTGATTTGATGTACAATCAACCATCCGGTTCTATATATCCCCTTAAATCATCACTGCTTTGTCATGTTGCCATACTTTTCTGGTTTTATCTCACTAAGCAATTCCACTTGTGGGTGGAACCCCGATTTTTGAAGGCATTTAACCCCCACTTGTTCTTGATTTCCCAACGAAGCTATGATAAACAACCCCACTTCCATGTGCATCCCAGTTGATTGAAGTGGTTGATAACCATGTCTTCGTTCACCTATGTTTACCCATTCATAAACAGTATAAAGCCCAATTGTATGTGTATACAGTCAGTACATATGTATATATATATATATGTGTGTGTGTATGTGGGTTACTCACGACTTACCAACCAAAATGCACAGTGTTTCTAACCTCCATTTGCTGCTGTTTCACAGCCATCTTTCTCAGTTCTCATGGATCGTTACATCATGTGGCAGGGATTGATACACCATGATGGCAAGGTTGATCATTCAATACCTACCCAAAACACCCGTTTCCATCAAGCTGCTACGAATATTACGCTCCCAATGTAGCACCATTTCTGTTGATGAAAGATGATTAAATTCCCAATTTTGTTGGTTGCATCAGTATTTTTGTTGGCTAAATCCAGCCGTTGGTTGGTTCAAAACCATAACAGCCATAACATCCACCTGAAATATCCCACGAAATCGCCTTTTTAACGCGGCTTCTTGCTGGTTACCCTACACTAAACTCACCATATGTGGATGTCCCCAATGAAAACCCACCTTTTTCCCTCGGAAAATGATCAAAAAACATTTTTTGGTGTTCCAAATCTATGCTACTTGGCCAGAGGGTAGATGACAAAGAGTGTCTGATTGGTGGTATAATAATGGTTAATATATGGTTAATATATGGTTATTATATGATTAATGATGGTTAATAATAATCTGGTTGGTGGTTTTTTTTCGCAAAACCCCATCTGAAAAATGATGGAGTGAGTTCGTCAGTTGGGATGATGACATTCCCAATATGATGGGAAAAATAAAAGCCATGTTCCAAACCACCAACCAGATTTTTCTACGAGCTTTCACATATCTGGCAGAATTAACATAGCTATGGAAAATCACCATTGTTTATGGGAAAATCCACTATAAATGGTCATTTTCAATAGCTATTTTGACATAACCAGAGGATATTTGGCATTCCTCCACCATGGCCCAAGCGGTTTCGTTCGTTCATTCGACCGACCTCTTCGGACTCGCTCCGACTGTCCTCCGACTGCGAGTCCGCACCCTGAAACATGGAGAGACCACCGAAGTTGTTCAGTCACCAAAATGGAGAGAAAAGGTGTTTTTTTTCATGATCTTATGGTATGATATTGAAAATGGGGTAAACTAACATAGCTATTGAAAATGACCATTTATAGTGGAATATAGTGGATTTACCCATTAATAATGGTGATTTTCTATAGCTACACTAGTTTACCAGAGGGTATATATATATATATGGGTGTGTCTGAAAATGTTGTGTACCCCAATCAACCCAATGGTTTTGCTGATCATTATCCCTATTAAATGGCTATTTCATTGGGAATATACCCTATTTTCAGACAAACCCTGATCATCATTTTTGGCCTCTTGAAATGATTGTTTGGGGGTATGGTCTATTTTCAGACAGACCCAAATGGGGAAATGTTGGGACTTTCCTTGACTGGAAGTTTTGGAAAAGTGAACATGGACAAAAGAGACAGGAACATCACCAGGCGAAAACTTTCAGGAAAAAACATCGGAAAAGTCAGGATTTTGCCCTAAACAAGGACACAAGCGCCAAATTGTGTCAGAAAATTTTCTTCTCAACATATCTCACCTGGCGATGGAATTTTTACACTTCTGAATAGCAAACATTTTTCGGAGGTTTCAACAAAAGAAATGTGGTGATTTTCCAGCCAGCTTGGATCACCAGGAAACTCTGGTGATTCCACCTGCAGAACTTGCAACAAATCCAACTACGCCATGTACACGCCATGCATCTCTCTCCATCTATCAATATATTGGTGTCTATAAGAGGCTGCTAGATACCCAATGACTCGGAACCCAGATCATATGTTGTCAGATGTCATTGTCATATTGTTACCACATTTACCCTTTATGAGTAAAACATGGCATGTACAATCTTTGACAGGAAAATCTTATGATTGATTGCTTTTAGAAATGGAAATAACAAGATTGTAGTAGAAAGAAGGTGAATCTTTTGTAAAAGTCAATGTCCATTTCAATCTTTAACAATGATTGCTTTTCTTGTTAGAAATGGAACTTGACCGTGGCTGTTTTTGCGGGTCAAATCCACCTTGTGCTAATACTTGTGCATCCCTTTGCTGCAAAAAAACCCGGATGTGAAATCCCCAAATCTTGGTGACTTAGCCTCTGGTAATTTGTTTGATATAGCCAAAAAAAACAATAATTCCTATAGCTATCGGAAATCACCATGTCTTTGATCGGGTTTTTTTTTTAAACGAACTAAATGGGACATTTAAGTTCCATACGTAACAAAGTACCCTTTGGGTAAATCCCCCAATGATTCATGAAATAAGCTGGTAAACCCAGTTAAATACAAACCATCGGATAAAAACCAACCATGACGACGGGGGGTCATAGTGTTCACAAAAAATCCCATTTTTTTCGGCATTGGGTTCACCAATTCCCATGATGCGGCCGCATCAAGTCTCCATTAATTGTTGGTTTATATCATTATATCCCCGTTAGATCACTGAAATCCCCACCATATTCCAATGATATCCCCACACGATTGTTTTTATTCTCCCATTCTTGTCCCTAAACCCTGTAAAACCCTGTTATACTACAACAAAACCGGCGTTATTGGAGATATTAAGCTCATTTTGGTGACCATTAATCACCATTAGGAAAATCACAATCAACCACTATTCACCCCCCTAAATTCCACGATGTTGCCATGATCTCCCCGTTAAGTCTCCATATTGTTTGTTTATATCCCCCTTTACAATCATTTCTATCTCAGATCAGTGAAATTTCCACTATATTTCCATGACATCCCCATTTTGGTGACTTATTGTTAGTAAAGCAAAAATAGTAATGATACTAGTAATAGTAATAATAAACCACCCATGTGGATTGCTGGTTGGAATCCCTTCCATTTGTGGAAAATTTGAGGATGGTGTACTAACGTGTTTAGCCATTAGTAGCTTGTCAGATTATCCAATAATAACAATCTAATATTGGATATTACAATGATGATAATCATAGATTTTCCAATCAAAATATCTCTAATGTGGTTAAAACATCACCATTTTTATATGTGGTATGTTTACAATTCCCAAATGGATGGTTTATTATTGTTTTAACCAGATTAGTGTTGATGTGTTTAGTAGTTTACGAAAATTACTGTAAATCCCCAGCACCTCGCAGGTCTTGCTGCTTCCGGCACCCATGGCCAAGGCGCCACGCGGGCGGTTCACCCGTGACTCGTGCTGGGGGTTGGATCCCGGGCTAAGCAACAAAAATCGTCGGTTCACCGGTAGAAATGTGGTGTTTGCAGCGGTAAACATGTCGGTTTCACCGGTGGAAATGCGGTGTTTACCGTTAAAAAGGTGTTTTTATCAAAAAAAATGAGTTGATCCAACAAAAATGGATAATATTAACCAACTACAATGCATGAAAATGTTGATTTAATATCAAGGCTCATAAGGTTTCCTCTAATATCAACTTTGGGGGGGCTAACCACCATGATGTTTGTGATGGCTGGTGCTGTTTCATTTCAAAAAGCTGACTCTCTTGAGCTGTAAACTACTAATGTCTATTGTCAGGTTCTCACAATTGTTCAGGTTTCTTGACTTTCTTCAGCTTCTTCTCACAATTGTCTATTTTCGCTGTTCTTTTGCTGGGCGTCAGCTGCTTTCAGAGTGGATGATGTACCAGCCCGCTTCAAATGTTTCACGGCTGCAGCCAAGCAGCGGAAGTAGGAGAAAAACATGGGACACCTTAGGTACCCTGATGTAGAAGATGGGATGTGTGATGGGAGAATTATGTGTGTATGTGTATATATATATATATTGGTATATATAAAAGGCTTGAGAATGGGATATGGAAGCAACAATACTATGCCAATCTTAGATAGCCTGCCAATTGTTGAATGTTTCTTTTAGCTGGTTGGGTTCCTATATCCCGAAACCAGTGGGAGCATATTAAGTTGTGTTGAACTACCACACTTGACCCATAAAATGTGCATGTCACGTGCTTTTCAACTCAACCTATGACTACATATTCATTGGATTGGTTCAATGGAAAATCTTCGCCGGGAACACACTGGTTTTTCCCATCAACCATGGGGAGTTCCGGCTTCAATTTTCCCCAACAAACCAATCCAATAATTCTGTGAAATCCCATTGGCGGCCCACTACATATCCCATTACATATACATATATTTGGTTGGTGGTTTCAACCCCTCTGAAAAATATCAGTCATTTGGGATTATTATTCCCAATACATGGAAAAATAAAAAAAATGTTCCAAACCACCAATGAGATATAAATGCATTAGATATAGTGAATCCCTTGTAAATCTCCATTAAATCCCGAAAAATCATAGCTGGTTTGGGGATCCAAATTACACCAGGTCCGGAGATGGCATTGTGGTGACAGTTGAACCTAAAGGATGCCTTTTTCTTTCTTGGGAATATACTTGGAGAATGTTCGCCATAGTCTGAACCAATTAATGTCAACCCCGGATCAATAAACCATAGTTTACTGAGTTAATTACGGGGTACATCCCCAAATACTCATAATCTGATACTTAAATGGTACCCCCCAATCAAACAGCCTCGGGTTTATTAATCCAGGGTTGACATTACAGTAATTGATCTACTATAAATGGTTAAACCATATAGATTGTTACCTATAGAAAAACATCCGTTGGTAACCTGGGTCTTCCACTGGCTGCTCGCATATATGTTGGCGTTGCTTAAACCACTTGGAATCCACATCATTCCCACAGACCCATGGATTTGGTGGAAGGGGAAAATCTCTACCAAAATCCCCCCGTTTTCTCTACAGATTTCCCCAACAAGTCAGCGAAAATTTCTGCATCCATGGTTATGTGGTTATATCCCTATTTGTTTGATTCTTAAATCCCCCATAGATTGGTTGATCAAATCTAAGTATCACCTTCCACAAAACAATCTTCCTGTATCTACATGTACCCACCTTGTCCTCTTGGATGTAATCCTGCACTCCCACCTCCATGTTCGTTTGAAAATATGTCCAGCCTGCTGTCTAAAAGGATCTAAGGATCTAATACGAAACCATGGTCTTTTAAGGGGGCACTCAATATCAGGGGGATGGGACTATCAGTCAACATCCATTCTTCGGGTTAGACTTGGATGCAGGTTTCACATTTTCTAGAATCCATTTTCTGTTGGTGATGGTAGAGAGCATAGTTTCCTGTAGATTTTCCCAACAACAAACACGGAGATCTAGCCAAGTAAATCAGGATATTTGTCTAAGACTTGGGACTCTACAGCAAACTTGTCCAACCCAATGAGTTTCCCCACAATTTTGACCCCCTAGCGCCGCAATGGGTACGTACGTGAACCCAATGACCACATTCGGCACTCGCCCGCCAGGGGTCGGTCGCTGAAAGGTGTGATCCAATCGGCTGCAGGGTTGATCTAACTTTAGAGGCGAAAAAATGCTAACCATCAAAAAAATAGGAATGCAATAATAGTTAACCACAATTTGATGGTTTAACCACAATCTGATGGTTTAACTGTTTAACCACAATTTATGATGGTTTAACCATTTACTCTAGGACCATATAATTAGTATTAAATAACCACAATAACGGTGGGAATCTAATAATAAACCATCCACACTATCACCATACATGGATGCTATATACCACCTCCCGATGGTAGATTTCTTAGTGGATTTACCACATCAATCCCATCAATGAAAACCAATGTGTTTACCCCTAATTAGATATTTTTCGAGGTTTCATGTGAAAGTGCCCTTCAACCCATTCTGGAAACTCATAATGGGGCTCTTGTTTCGGGCCTATTATTGTCAGGGCTCATCCTAACCATCTCCTTTGGCCGGGTCAACATTGGCGGATTTGCTTGAATCCCTACGAAAAACACGACCTCCCATGACTCGAGGCTTCATCGTGGCAAATCTTAGATACGAGAAACAAAATGGTAGTGTTCATGGTACAACATAGTAGTTGGTTCAGGTATGGTTCAGTATTTGCATAGACAAAGATCAAACATGATCAAACCATTTTCACCTACAAGGTGGGCTTCCCAGTCATGTCGGTTTAGTGTCACCCCATGAACTAGTCATAGTTCGTGATATCATGATATACCTCAGAAAGCCGATTGTGAAATATTCGCGTGATTTATTCAGCAACTTGGATAACTTAGCCTCTGGTAAACTAACATAACTATTGAAAATGGCCCAGTCGAAATAGCTGATTTACCCATTAAAAATGCATGGTGATTTTCCCATCAGTTTTTTGGGACTGTTTACCAGAGGGTAACCACCATTTTCCTATGGTTTTCCTATGATTTTCCCATAAAACCACCATTTTCCTATGGTTTAACCACCATTAACCACCATTAACCATCATTAAAGCTAGGTGCCCACCTTGTTCTCAACCTTTTGCCTTACCCATTTGCCCTCTAGGCCGGCCATGGCTGATCATCTTCACCTTCCTCTCTTCTGGATCCACCCAAGGTTTGGCTCGGCCCGGTCTGGGTCAGGATTCCTCAGGATCGGCTCCCAAAAATCCTATATGAATGAGGTTGTTTAATGGGAAAATCGCATATGAATGAGGTTGTTGAATGGGAAAGTCATCGAACCAAATGGAAGGGACCTTCCAGCAAGCCATGTTTGACCAGAGGCTTCATCAATTCCACAAGAATGGACCCATTTCCAGCAATGTCAGCAATGCTTCCCGAAGTCTTCAAGTTTGACCCACATCCAGGCAGCCTAAATAGAAGTCATTTGCGCTCCCGCAGATCTCGGCTGATCACAAGCAACGAGCTCAGCGGAACGACGCCGTTGCTTGGAAAATTCCGACATCGCCCGCCCCGATCCAGCCGCTGGGAGTTCCTCCGTCATCGTCAGGGGAGATCTCTGCTAGTTCCTGGTTCTTGGGGCCTTTGGTTGGGGACATCGATATTACCGCGCTATATCCCTCTGTCGCACCATAGGTGGTTTTGCTGGTGAAAATCGCCTCATCGTTGGGATATGGATGGAGCCAGGACAACTCGACTCGTGGCTCGTGAAATTCTATGGAACATCCACATGGTTTCTTGGGTTAAAATCCCTAAAGGTCATTACCCCCTAGTAAACTAACATAGCTATTGAAAATGGCCATTTTGTTTGTTGATTTACCCATTTAAAATTGTGATTTTCTATAATTATGTTAGTTTACCAGAGGGTAAATCCCATTAAATCACCCATTCGGTGAAGCTTTTGAAATCACCATCTCACCAGTTCCACATGGATCAAGGGCTGCGTTTTGCGATCTCCCGGCCCTTCCAGTCCCCACTCAGCCCGCGTGTGAAGACCCAACCGGGCCTTGGTTTGCTCTGCATCTGCATAGGATCAAAATCAGATATAACAGGTAATCAATGTAGGGATACTATATATATATATATAGATATAGCCCATCAATGGATTATAGCCTCCGGTGTCAAACGTGGCTGGCTGGAAAATCCTATGTTTTTTCCGATGATTTTTTCCGCTAAAACCTCCATTTAGTCCAAAGATTTCCCGTTCCATTCAAAAAGGGGATTTGTACAAAAATGGTTGATACACTAATAAACCGATGTGTTTTACCCACATTAGTGTTTTGCTCCAACTGGGGCACCAACTTGTAGAGTTTCTCAACTGGTGAATAAATGGGATGTTTACCTGAGAAATGTGGGTAAAACAATGCCATAAACCATCACATGTTTGATGATTTATACCACCCATTTATGGTGATTTTGGGAATTGTTTAATATTGCTAATGTCAACCATGGTTTATTAAGTAGGGGAGTACTCCTCCAATAGTCATAATCTGATACTTAAATGGTACCCTCCCAATGAAACAGCCTAGGGGGTTATTAATCCAGGGTTGACATTATACTCTCCGGTAATCAAACGTTGTCTGGCTGAAAGATCTTATGTTTATAGATGTTGATCCATAACCAGTTCTGATTCGGGGTAATGTTTATAGCCTCCGTTAATCAAACGTGGTTGACTGGAAAAAAAACTCTATTTAGTTCGATGATTCTCCCTTATAGGGGGTTTTCCCGTTGCTACGTTTGATTTCCCAAGGGTATGTACATGTGTGTAGATCTGCATGCAAGAAAAAAAGGTACACATCTATCAATAAATAGATATGCGTATAAGAGAAAGTACACACATAAATAGGACGTACACATAAAATAAATATAGATGTGCGTCTATTTCTGTATGTTTGTGCTGCCTGTCT